ATAGAGAGCCAAAACACCCCATGAAGATACACGTCCACCGCCCGCCTATCTCACCACACTAGCACCGGAACTATGGGATAAGGTCTTCCGCCACCTTGACGCCGAGGGATTCATGGCTACCGCGGCGGTTTGCCGTCTGTTCGACCGCCTGTCCAGCACCGCGTATCTAATTGAAAGTGGGGTCTCCAGAGAGTCCATCGTGACGGGAAATATGGTGCTGGCCTCCGATATAATTCCAGCGCTGGAGACAGTGCTGGGCACTTCACTCTTTCTCCCTCCTACCATCACGCGCCTCTCCTGTCGGTTTGGTCCAAACGATGATGGGTTCGGGGAGCAACTTTGTTGTCTACGTAGTGTTGTCCTGCAATGCCCCAGCTTACAGGAGCTCGATCTTCGCTTCCCAGAGAAGGCATTCTCCTCGCGCCGCTGGAGCGGGGAAGGGCCGATGTTCCCTACCGGACTGACAGAGGCTGAGGTGGACAGCCGGTGCAACTCGTTCCATGACCTTATGGCTGTCATGGCGCAAGGATTGGTTGTGTGTGTCGACCCCAAGCACGCCTTCAGCTGTCGGCCCCTAGACCTGTGCAGATCGCAGTTCGATCCCGGCTATTTTCCGCGCGTTAACTGGATATCGCGCACCCGCGAGGCAGTCGGTATCACCGGATCGACACATTCGCGACCCACTCGTCAGCGGATGCCCGCAGTTTACACTGACGTTGGTTCATGCATGTGGTCCAGCGTCCAGTCCGTCACCTTGAGGCACATTCAACCCTGCGATGCGCGACCATCTTTTACGCTTGCGATCACCAACGAAGGAATGATTTGGGATCTCCACCTTGGCCACCAGAAAAGCAAGCCAAAGATTCCACGTCTTTCTGCCAGACAGCTCAACGACGTCCTGCCTCATTTGGCTTTACCTTACCTCCGTCGTATCAAGCTACACACAGTGGATATTGACCCAAAGGTCTTCAGCCAATTTCTGACGCGCCATCCGAGGGAAGTGGAGACGCTCGACTATTGCGATGTGGACATCGATCACATTACATCGCCCCGTATTCTCGCAACTCCACCAGTTCTACTGCCGAATCTGAAAAATCTCTCTTCGGATAGCGCAGCAGGCCTTATCCGAGTCCTAGACGCGGTCCACTCCCTCGATGAACAGAGACTCCACCTCTACTTTCCGAACTCTATAGCACAGCTCACAAATCACAGATTGCTCTTACGGAAAATCGCCGCCCGTAAGACAAAAGGAACGACCCTTGTGATTCGCCTCCATTCTCCCGATACGTACCAACCGCATGAGGAGGATGCGGAAATTGTGCGATCTTTGGGGTGTGTATCGTCCGTTATGGTGCTTATAATTGGGGAAGCCGTGTGTATGAAGGGAATTTTGCCGTGGCTGGCGGCACTACCTGCCCTCGAACACGTCCAGCTCATCCACTGGTTCTATCAACCGGGATCACTGGAAACATACCCTAATTCGGACGAGGTCTGGGACAAGTTACTGGACGAAGCAGTGGCTGCACTTCCGCGCTTGCAGACACTGGAGAAGAACTGTGATAGGGATTCCGGGCAGGTTACGCATATTCTACGTCGGTCGAACCCGGTCGCACGGGACGCGGACGAACAAGGAGAAGCAGAACTAGTGTTGCCTCCAAAGTAACATAGCTGTAGTCCGACATGTCACTCATCTCGAGATATAAATGAGAAATAACTTGCACCTCCGAACTTCAAGGAAGATAGAGAGACACCGGTACTGGAGAGATGATGAGTCGATTGAAGGTGGGGGGAGGGAGTGGGAAGCCCACGCACCTGGTGTCTCCATGTGCTTGCGTTCCCCGGGTAAGATGAGAAGGAGCTGGGCTGGAAAGACTTACACTTACGGTGTGTCGTGGTCCTGGACGAGAGTAAACAGTTGTTGATCGGGGAGACCAAGTGGACGAGGTCCGGCGAAAGGAAACTTTTGAGTGATGTTAAAGGGACGTGACGGCGATTGCCGGTTTGCGATGAAGGTTTTGCGAACGAGAGTAGACTTTTTTCTCTATCCTGGCATGTAGCGTGTCTGCGCCTTCTTCGGTGCTTAATGACAATACTGGGCCAGAGGAATTTCAACAAAGACCTTATGACAGCCGCACTACTAGTATTTTAAATGGGAGACCAATATTAATTTCGTTGAGCGTGTATTCAGGATGGACCTCAAGTACGCCGAATCACCTTGACTTTGGTTTTGAAAAATCAAAGTCGAGTCTCTGGACATCGACATTGACGGTGATTGCTAATATATCTCGGGCTCAAACTTTTCACGCCACGGCGGAAGGAGAGTTGAGCATGTAAGCATAGAGATTTGAGGGACTGTCCAATCCACACAAGATGGACGAGGCAAGAGTGACTAGGCGCCGAGGAACAAAATCCATGAAATCGACATGAAAGGCGGAGGAGAAGGGAAGGCCAGCTTGGCAATTGGTCAGTATCTGATGGCGCGTCAAACAACGCTTGACTCGCGACCACATCGTCGACTCGACTCTTTCTGCTTTCCCTCCTCCAGCGGCGCCCAACGACCCGTCTTCTCGCATATCCATCTCTAGAATTCTTGTGGTATGAAACCAAGATGGCCATCTTCCAGATTCGGTCTTTGGAGTGGGGCGGATGTTGGTTACAGTGAAAAAGTGGGTTTGGATGGGAGATTTCGAGTCTGCAAGGTGCGATATCCATGCGCTGCTACTCATCCAGAGCCTTAGATAGGCCTACTCGCAGACAGGGACTTTCCTGGAGGTCGACATTGTCGACGTGGAAATCGGCGGCAGGGCGATGAGTCTGAGATCTTCTCAGGACGCGCTCTTGTGCGCAACTCATGCTCGAGTCACTTTGGCGGCTTATTCTGGGGCATCCCATTCTCGCGGGTAACTTGGATGCTTGGCTGCTGCGAGCCGTAACCCGGCGCTTTTCTCTTGCGACTGCCTACGGTGTCGTCACCTTTGGTGCTGCTCCCTCGCCGCTAGCCTACACCGGTCACCCCTCGCCCTCTACGACAGCTAAGCTCGATCTTCCTGACGACTATGCGCTCGCCCACGGACCAAGAGTCGTTGAAGACCCATTCTCTACAGCAATGCGAACTCGAGGCCGAGCCCCGCTGGAACCATCGGCATCTGCCGCCCGCGTTTGTGCGATCTGCGACGCCTCTTCGATCGTCAAGTGCAAACACATCAAGGACAATCAACCGTCTCGCGACTGCCCTTTTCCACCATAGTCGCTCCAGCTCCCATTCGCCGGCTTCCGCTCTCCGCGTTCACCTGGCGCCTACCATATCTAGGTCTAAACACGAGGCTCTATGAGCTTGAGGCTCTTGCTATCTCGTAGTATGCGGGGGTCGCAAGTCGGGCTAGAGCCACGGTGTTCTCGACAACTTGTTTTTCTACTGGTTCTGGTTCTCTGCCCAGCAAGACGTCCAGATTCCAGATGTCGGATTGTTCGCGGGAAAATGCTCCTTTTACGTCTCCCGCCACACAGTGTTCCTCAACCGCTTGGCTCAATGCTCATTCCGTCGGGCACTTCCATTAATCGCGCACTGGACAAGATGCAGGTCCCGTCAAGACGATGGGACTATCTCGGTTGTTCCCCATCCCTCGAGCCGACGCCCATAGTTTCTGGACATGGTCAAGCAATTCCGGGAGACCTGGTGTATACCTTTTCCTCCTCATCATTTTGCGTTTTATTTTTCAACCGACCTGTCCCATGTCTGGAAATTGACCACCTTTTCTGACGGTCCGAGAGTGTAACAAAAGAAGTCTTGATTGATCTCGCCAAATGACCTCGGGCGGCGTCGAACCGCCGGCTCTCCCCAATGCTCGTTGGAAAGGAAGGCATGTTGTGGGAGTGAGTTATCGTACTCCACGAGGACCTTCACGTTACGGTGGATAAGCGGGAAACCTGCGTGAAATCCGGAGCCTTTGCGGGCACGGATCTATGTACGCTATTGTCTTCGAATTCGCCACGCTGATCAGAATCGCAGGCTTCCAAGCATGCCGGATCAGATTAGACTAAAACCTTCCCAAAACAAACATCGACACCCACCGAATCTTCTGCGTCTGGAAAAACAGATAGCTTCGCTCAAGATGTCCCCCGGTGGAATCGAACCACTATCCCGCGGAAAGTTTTGTGGGAGTGAGTTATCAAGGTATGGTGCTCCGCGAGGACCTCACAGTTCCAGTGGGTTTTTTTAGTACGTTAGGTGTTTCCCTGCATTGAACATTCCCGGTACTATACGCCTTGGATGGCTTAATGCTGAGTCAAAGTTTCAGACTTAATACTTCCAGGTCAGACTCGGGGAAAGCCTGGTGGGAGTATTTCCGAAGAGCGCGAGAAAAGATTGTGGCTACCACATCACATTCCCGGGCGGAGTCGAACCGCGGCTCTCTCAGATACGTCTCTTCGCCCGGAAGGATTTTGTGGGAGTGAGTTATCTTACTCCACGAGGTGTTACGCATCTAGGTGGGTGCGTAGGGGGCCAAGTAGGTATCTTCCGGGGTCACGGTAAGTATGGTCAGCACCCGCTTGCGTTCGAATTTCTTGACGCTGATGCTGATTGCAAAATTCGAGGGGACTTGGGACATTTATTGGAAGTATACGCAGAGCTCGCGTTGAGACGTTAACACAGTTTGAGACAGCAAGAGACCAAAATGAGATGGCAGCGCTCAATGTTCCCGAGTGGATTCGAACCACAGGCCATGTCCGAATTGAATGCTCACGCCGATGACCGACGCTATCCGGAGGCGGTCATACTCCACAAGGACCTGGACTTACATGGCCAGCAGAGTATATTTCCAGCAGAGTACGTTTACGAGACAATTTACAGTCATGTGCGGTGCGTTTCCCCTCCGTCTCGCGTTCCCTGGCATTGATCTCGTTGCGGTTGCCGTCCATCACCAGCAAACTCAGCGGGGACACTTCGTATGCCCTACATTGGATCAACATGAGAAATAAAAATGCTCTCCAAGCCGCAGTGCCCTCGGGTGGAGTTGAACCACCGACTCTCCCAGGATAAGCATCGGAACTTCTACGCAAACGCGGGGAGCGAGTTCGCGTTACTCCACAAAGGCTTTCCTGAAGCGGTTCGTAGGTTGAATAAGGAAGCGAGCCGCCTAGGTCTGATGCGGCTGTATGCGCATCGGTACTCATGCTCGCCCAGTGGCTTGATTCAAAATAACGGTTCAACATGCAGGCAAGTGTAAGCATTTCATTGTATGCGACCTCAGGACCAAAAAGTAGACTAAGACACATGCGTATATTGCCACAAGAAATTATACGAAGGAATGCAGCGGTACGGATTGGTATTTCACAGCAAGGAATGTAACTATGCAGAGTTTCACAGGAGCAAACGCCCCGGTTGCAGGAAGATCAGAAACAAAGCTTCAGATCCGGGATCAACGTCACCAGCACTGCCAGGAACAAAACCAACAAAGGATTAGCGCAATCCACATCCCCGTGGTGAAAAGATGAACGTACGCCGCCCAAAATACACGGTGTGGAACGGGTTGATACCGGTGGATGCTGTAAGGTGAAACGGATGAGGCCGAGGGAGAATGCAAGAGAGGACGAGACGTACGGATGCGCGCGCTACACTCCGGGTCCTCGCCGCCGACGCACTTCTTCACCGAGTCCTCCTTGGAGGTGATCAAAGGTACGGGGTCCTTGAACTGCCAATATTCGGTCGCACTGCGTTTGATGTGAAGAGACGCGCATGAAAGGGGAAAAGGGGAACGTACAAGTGCCTGTAGCCGAAAATGCGCGGAACCATCGTCGGGACGCCGTCTAAAATGTTGGGGTGTAAGAGTCGGAGTACTGTTGGAGAAGAAGAATAAGACGACGCACCCAATGTGTGCACGGCTGTGAGATGAGGTTCAATGAATAAAAATCATGACATGAAGGCGGACGAACGCACTGCGGTAGATATTCTCCTCGCCAAGCGTCTTCTCAACCCAGCTCGCGTACTCAGCGTTGCCGACGCGCGGTTGGCCTAGGTTTAATAGGTTGAGTGACATTGGAATTTACTCATGGAGGAAAGAACGACCGACCAAATGTGTAGAGCGCGACTGTGGCTGAGGGAAGTGCACCTTTGATCAACGGCGCACCAAATGAAGCAAGGGCACCGCCCATTGAATGACCTTATATTTCGTCAGGTGAGCGCTCATGCTGGAAGTGGGAGAAGTACCTGTGACGACGACACGGAACCCCGGGAACTGCGCGAGCTGGGCCGTCACGATGGCGAGGACGTCCTCGGCGACGTCGTCGTACGCATTCCGGAAGCCGCGGTGGACACGAATTCCGGCGGACTCGGACTCGTCCAGATCCGGGGGGAAGAAGGGAAGGAGGAGGAATTGGGCGTCTAAAACAAACCGCGCTAGAGCTTCAAAAAGTAATATGTAAATGAGGAAGCACTGACCAGTGAGGATGTCTTTGATCATGAGGCTGAACGTCCCGCGAAAGACTACGATGATCTCCTGACGGTCGTCGTCGCGTGCGACATAGCCTTGCGTGCGCCTTCTCTCGAACTAGCAGCGGTAGGAATCAGACCATACGAGTCAACAGTGAGAACGAAACGCAATCTGACAGATCTAATGAGCGTTTTTCCAAGTGGTTTGGGACAGAGCGGTTGATATGCGGCGGATGAATACTTGGTGTAAAGAACGAAGTCGTCGTAGAGAGACGCGGAGATGGCACGAGAGGTCACGACAGGCGATGCAAACGCGGCGGACAGGCATAGAGCAAGCAAAAGGAGAGTAAGCGAGAGTGAGTTCATTGCGCAAGGAGAGTCGAGGGTGACGAGGGGAAAAGATCCTACTAGATGCAGGAACACTGTTTGGGTTTTAAAGTGCGAATATGTTGCGCACGTTCATCAAGCGAGTCACCGAATTTAAACATTCGAAGCCAGGTTGAATTGCGAACCGCGAATAAGGATCTTCCATGGGCGGAATTGCACCATTTGTTATTGAAATCCATTGTGTTCCTCGAGCCGCAATGAGTGGCCATTGAACGGGGTAAATGCTATACACCCTATTTCGATAAATCACCGGAACACGTCAGGCCAGCTTCTTCTGTGTCCTTATTCGAGGAGCTGTTCAATTGCGCGACAGCTTATGGCGTCCAATTCCCTGGGCTAGACCCCCGCTTCATTTCACTTGACCGACGGTCAGAGTCACGTCGTTCAAGCCAACATCACCAATGTGAAAGAAAACCTTGGCAGTGAACCACTGTAACGCCAACTTGAAGCAGCCGTGAGGGACGCCGTCTCATATCTGGAGTGTCACCGGAAAGGTCTTGAAAAAGTTTCTGAAAGGGCTTGTATCCGTAACAGGATAGTTGGGGCTGAAATTGCAGCAGAAATGTCATAAACCTGGGGCATTGCCGGACAATTTCGGACTCTGTCATATTCACACTGGGCCGTCCACAACGAAGGAACGCCTTTTACAAGAAAATACTGGAACTTGCGTACGGAAGCTACAGGAAGGCGATGAAAGCGACACACGGTTGCGAGCGAGATTAGAAAATTGGCGTCTCAGACAAAATTTGGCAGCGCTGGAATGGGGGATAAGCCCTGGTGAGCGCGATGCATGGCAGCTAAATGGCGACGCACAAGGGTTATGGGGCCCAAAGTGTCTCAACAAAGCGCGCTGCTCCTTGTTGATCTTGCGCCAAATCTTGTCACTCCACAACGGCATGCCCCGCTCGCGCCCCATGTCCTTACGAAAGTTGCCGTGCCGCATGACCCGGCGCAGAAAATCCTCGTCCGACGAATACCGACCGGGGAAGTGCGTGAGCACCTCGTTCATCCCGTCCCAGACCACGTACTGCGTGCCGACGGCGACGATAACCTGCGGATCCACGCCGAGGTCGCGGTACGCCAGCGGCCGCAGCCCGCCCTGGAGTTTGAAGCAGTGCTTGAAGATGAACTCGGCCTCGCTGAGGTTGTGCCATCCGTCGCGCACACAGAAGAAGCGCAGGCTGCCCCACCGGGCCCAGTCGCATGAGCCAAAGAACGGGAGGAGATTCTGCGGGAGGACGGGGAAATGGGCGGCGACGAATGCGTCGAGCTGGAGGCTGTTGCGATGGACGGGAGTCGACTTGGGAGAGGTTAGCATGGGGATGAATGCTCGGTGGGGGACAGCGCTTACGATCTCCGGCTTCTGTGGAGCAGGCGCGGCGTTGACCACCGTTGGGACTGTGACTAACGAGCGTAACGAGCGGTATGCGCTGTCGATGCCATCAATGCGGGAAATGGCGCTCAGCAGTGGATAACGTACAGGTTCGGAGTGGGCAGTGCACGGAGAGTGCGCGAAACAAGTCCCCGCGCAAGGATGGGGGCATACATGGTGGAGAAAAGCATCAGTCACCCGTGACCAGCGTCTACGGTAGGCGGATTGGTCGCGGTTCGATTTCAAATCACGGCTTCAGATTTCACCCGAGAGTTCAAACCTCACAAGTGGTGAATGATTTTTTTCATCTCAGGAGGAGGTATTCTGGGTTGATTCCTTCGGTATCGCTGCAACTTGCTATCCACATAGGTAGGACATGATATCTAAATGCCAACCAAATACTAGTTAACGCAATAGTGTGTTCAAAATGATGTCTTTAGCTGCTGTGGCTTCATCAATCGCTTCGAATGCTATAGCGACTCTGGCGCAGCGGACAACCATGGCCGCATGCTCCGGCGGCCTCTTCTTGCAACTGGTAGTTCAATCCTCGCCTTTGGACTTTTTTTACTTTTTCCGTTGTGGTCGGAGAGGATGGTCACGTCACAACGAGCGCTCGATGTGACGTGACTGAGAGCGTTCAGGACCATGTAGAATGGCTTACCTCATTCCACATAGTCTTCAACGCTCTCTGGGCTCATGTGATTTGGATTATGCTAGATTTATTTTGAGAAAATATACATGCACTAGAATACTGCCTGTCTGCCATCAAGTTAAAGACAAAGAGGATTGCTCACTGGCAACACCAAAGTTGGCTCACAAACGTTGCAGTGACTTGAAAGAGTGTTGCCTGAGTACAAACAAGCACATACAACCTGCAGGTTGTACGCGGTGTGACCTAATCTCGTGATCGGCGTGACTCGTTACATGCCATCAAAGTGGAAACCGTTTCCTCGCCGTCAACTCAACACTGGAAGGTCATTCTTCCGCACTGTTCATTTCAACCATCTAAGATATTCCGAACAAAACTTGCAAGTAGGGATCCGCACCGTAACGTACGTATACGGTACGGGTCAAAATACGTGAGTACGGGTCATCTGTGCCATACGTACGGAGAGCCAAGAAAGATTGCCAAGCCGGCACGGTACGGTACGGGTCAAATACGGCCGTATACGTGATACGTACGGACAGATGGACACTTCAGTGTTCAATCAGTGTTCAATCAGTGTTTGACATTTTTTGGTGTAGTTTTGGGCCTTCTTGAAGCGATGGAGTTATGCTTGATACGGCTGGAGGTCAGTCTCGGATAATCTCGGTGCCAGATGTTCGGGTGTGCTGTCAACGGAATGATCCGAGGCAGAGATTTGATGAAAAAGAGGAGAGGGATCGCACACCCGAACATCTGGTGTACATGGTAAGGAAACCATGCGATCGCTGTAATCTGTCACATTTGTCACAGACTGCAATTTCGCCGATTATTCCACAACACAAGTGAATGAGGAGCATCAAAGGCGTTTGATAGTGTTTTTATACATCCTTGAATGACATGACACGAAAAGACTGGGACGATACACGTCGTAGGGGGGAAATTGAACAACTGATCATTATGCGCACTTCGTGAAATAATTAGTTTTGAACCTCACGGTGAGCCAGAAATTAGCGAGTCACCTTTGAGCCCATCTTGCTGTACGAAGAAAGCCGTCGGGACCGTCTTTGCGGCACTGTGGCTCATGAAACTCGCTAAATTGGGGAGAAATGATGTTTTGTTCAAAGTACAGAAAAACCCCGTCCTTTCCCCTATATTCACATTTGAAAAGCGCCATAGTGACCAGAATACACCAGGGAGTGCGATGGAATATGATTTAGTGGCTCAGTTGCTCATTACGGGGACGAACGAGTGAGAAATATTC